TAGAGACTCTCTACAGTTACAGCCACGATCATTTCAACGATCTGGATCATTAATTAATTAAAACGGATTAAGTTAAGTGGAAAAGTCGAGAATGGGTTTTTCTTATCCTTGCTCACGTACCCGCGCACTCACACGATAAATAATATATAATGTACTTTTTTTTATTTCTTGATTCGTTTAATCACGCAAGTTATGGTACTTTTTTTATACACATCGTAAGATCGAAACGTCTTAATTCTGTACACCTAGATTTCGTACGTGTAATATTCTATAGTTTCATTATATACAAATCGTAATATGTATTCTCGTGTACGTGTCTCTCTCTCTCTCTCTCTCTCTCTCTCTCTCTCTCTCTCTCTCGCTCTCTCTCTCTCTCTCTCCTGTGTGTCACTGCACGAACAACGCGCAGCGTACGTCGGCGTGTGTGTGTGTGTGTGTGTGCTTTTCTTAATGAAAAAGATCGTGTCCTCAATCGTGTGTGTATAATATTCGTTTATAACATATATATATATATATATGTATGTATGTATATATATATATATATTTATATCCTTCTTCTCGTAGCAGTGTAAACGCAGATACACTATAATAGTTTCCTCTCTCTTTCTCTCTCTCGCTCTCCCTCTCTCGCGTGCTTATTTGTTTGTTATCTTTATTATTCTGTTTTTTTGTTTTAATTTTTTTTCGTTTGTTAATGCTTCTTGGCTACGGAACACATGATCGCACTCGCACATCCCCTATTTTCCCCTTGCTTTTATACACGTGCACAACGCTTGCCCTCGGATCAGTTCACCGCCCGATCGCATTTCTGACAAGATTCTCGATCAGCTCTTTACTTATTTTTATTCATACTCAAACAATTGAATGGAAGATCTTGTAGCACGTAGAATTACATTTGGCGAGCGCGCGCGCGATAGTTTTTAAAGTATATTTGGAAGAAGTAGAAACAATCGGAAGCACTTGAATCCGAGAATTATGCAAAATGCAAAACTTATGCATCGAGTCTCGTGAAATTTTCGATGTCACTTTTCGATCTGTTGCAATGAGGAGTTTCACTGGAATCTTGTCATCCCTGCAATTACTCCGCGATAACCGCGCCGATCGTCGGATACTCTTTTAATAAAGGAACGTGACAATCGAACAAACAATGAGACCTAACGTTTTTTGGTCAATGTTTCGAGACTATTTTATATATTTAGTAAAAAATCTACGAATGAATCATGAATGGAAATTCTAGCGCGTGTTATGAAATCAGGTACAATTAAACTAGAGAATCATGGGGGCGGGGGTGGGTCAGAGACGGAGAAAATCTCTCGTTATCCAACTGAATCTCGCGGTACGGTTAATCGCGGTTACCCGGAAGTGAGAGACGGTGAGAGCGGTTCCCTGTACGATTTAAATTCGTTAAAGCAGTCACCGGTAACAGAAGCTCTCTCCACGTCTCATCGTTCCATCCATCGTGTTCATTGTCTGTCTCTCGTTTCGAAACAAAAAAAAGAAGGGAGCCTCCTCAGACGGACTTCCGTCGCGGCAGTTCTTGTTGTTCTTGTTCTTGTTGCAATAGCAGCGTGCTGACGGTCGTCGGTCGTCAGATGCTTGCGCGGTGTTGATACGGCGTCAACGGCGGCGGGTGTATCTCACTGCGCATATTCCACGTCGACAGCGGCTCCATCGGCAGCAAGTGCGATATCTTACCCGGCGAGCGACGGACCGTGTACCGCGGTCTCCGTCGCTTCTTCTGGAATCCGCTGCAGCGGCAGCTGCAGACCGACGTCTCGTCGTCCAGCGATATCGTGTCACCGTGGTTGCCCACTTGGCCCGATAGTATCGAGCCATTCGCTGTTATCACGTCGCCCTCCAGGCGCACCGCCCCTTGCGCAGCCTGCGTCACACACAATTTTTCCCCTTTTTCTCATCTAATTCACCTCCGCCTCTCCTGCCTCAGTTTTGAATCGTTACCACGCGACGTTTACCTATTATTTTGTATCGTCGCCCTATCTCGATGGGTCCTCGGGTTCACGGGATTCAGAGTAAGGAACGAGGGAGAGCCTTTCTTGTATTGATTCGCGTTAGGCTACAGCGGAGCTCGGATATCAACCCTTTGCGGCATGGACCGGCGTCACGTGGCCCGCCGCAAAGAATTTCATCCTCTCCCTCGCACCGTATATATTTCTCATTTAACGCATATAAAACGACTAAAAGATTCTTTTTAACTTCTCTTACTAAAAAAAAATTTGTTCTTACATGACAAACGAGTCAATTCGCGTATGATTAAAGAACAGGAAATCGTCTTATGGACATCGGAAGGGAGGATCGACATTAAGGGTAATTTTATTGTCAGAGCGCGAAGGTGAGATACTGTATCGAATCGTTCGATGATCGAGGAGGGATAGGGGTGCATTCTTACCTGTAGAGCCTCGGCCTCGTCCCGCCTCTCGTCCTCCGTGTTCATGGTGACGAATCTCAGCACCAACAGATTGAGGGAGGCGGCGACGATCGCTAACCCGAACAGTATGAATATTAACGTGAACGTCACGTACTCCGGCATGTTGTCCAGCGCGCCGTCCGTCTGCAACGCGACCATGTCGCCGAAACCGATGGTCGTCAGGGTGATGAAACAGTAGTAGATGGAGTCGAAGTACGACCATCCCTCGTACCGTGAGAACACCGTCGCGCCTCCCGCAATCGTTAAACAAGAAAGCGTCGTCACCACGCAGATTAGATTTATCTCGGAGGCCTGAAACGTTTCACAATGCCCCACAGCTGAATTTACTCGTCCAGATCACCGGCTAAACTTTTGCAAATTTTTATCTCTCGTCTCGGAACGTATAAAAAGTAATCGTTATCTGATGCCTCCGTGAATTTAAGAGATCACCGACAAACGCTCCCGCAATACAGAATATCTTTTGAACAAATTCTATTTCGTTCTCCATCTGTTCGATACAGATGCAGAATATCGTTCCGATATCAGACAAGACAAAACTGCTTGCTATTTTATTATATATCGACGGATGCATGTCAGAGTTTCGGTTTACGATTCTTACCTGGGTGACCTTAGAGTTAAGGCGCTTCTTTACGTTCTGTATTATGACGGACGAGAACTTATTCAGACGCTCTCCTATGCTTTGGAACATTACGAGTCCTAACGGGATGCCGACGATCGCGTAGAACATCGTGAACAGCTTACCGTTTACGGTGCTCGGTGTCGAATGTCCGTAACCTGCAATTTCGATCAATAAACACCCTGTAAATGCACTGCGACAGATTTAGTGAGGGCAAAAATAAAATTCAATTATCCCGGGTAGCGTTGATAAAAGATGACGCTGTTTCAACTATTTAAATATTTTCCAGATTGCCAGTGCAATCGTAATTGTTTCAGATAAGGTACCAATGACTGATCGATAGATTCATACATGGTTCGTGGATGCTGAATAATTGAACGTACCGATAGTGGTAAGGACCGTGATCGCGTAGTAAAACGATCCACTAAATTTCCACTGTTGACCGGCTTTATGAGGTTCCATCTTCAGCACCACTGTTTCCATGATCTTGAAGTCGTCCTCGCTTATATTGTACTTGCGTGTAACCATGTTTTCAATGCCTGTTAAAAATACATCGCTGCTTTTAATCGTCCGTCGAGCGAAATATGAAATTGCAAACATATTTTCCTTTCATTTATTTTCGAGCGACTCTGACGTTTTTAAAACGAGTCCAAGAAACGAGTTGTTTAATGGAATTCATTAGACGCGCATACAGTACGGTTTGAAAGGTTCAAAACAAACGACAGAAAAGCGATCGGGAAGTCTATTTCCGGTTTTGCAAGACGACGGAAAATCGATAGATTTAACAAAATTACCTTCCCCCGTCGTTGCCAGCTCTGACCCGATTTAAATTTCATTTCATACACCGGATTAAGAAACTTCACGTTTCTCGTGATACTTTGAAAAATGAATCGCCGCGAAATTATACTATGCAACTATTGCGGCGAAGCCTGGCAACGGGATAAGTTTAAGGGACCGCATCAGTTCTACCGCTAATATTATTAGTACAGTTCCCGGGAACTACGTGAGTTCGTGTTTCAACCGGAAAACCACATCAAGGGATTATACAATTCGAAACTGTGCACTGCGCTTTATAATAAAATATCTTGCTCGCCCGAAAATATATCGAACTTCAGAACTTGTGGTATTTTACGTAAAGAGAAGTCGCGATTTTCGTTATTCGTAAAGGGATCGGCGTACCGTCCAGTACTTCCTTGTGTCGTTTCTCTGTCTCGGACTCGAGAACGTCGAAGATTGCAGCGCCGATGAGGAGGTACGTGAGAGTGCAAACAATTAACAATACAGTCCGGACGTTTTGCTTCTTCATTCTCTAGTGAGCCACATGCTCACTAGCAGGGCCCCGGCCCTGACTACTTGCATCGCTCAATGGGGTACGGTTTGGTGTGCCGGGCCCATGACGACCCCTTCTCCTTTTTGGTGATGCTGCTCCAGGGGCCCTTCTTCCGTTTACCGAGCGCTACAGACCCGGGACGCGACTCCTTTTCTTCAGGGTATCCTCTTCCTTGCAAAGACTACCTTGTAGCCGCTTTCGTTCATCTGAAAAATCATCACGATCGCCTTTCAACCGATCGTTCACGCTTGTCACGATGGGAACGAGCAATGCGGTTCTAAATCTCGCGGAAACTCTGCGTAAGCATCGATTCTGACGCGGAATGATGTGGACGATTCCAAAAGAAACAAGAGTAGCTCTTCGCGATTGATTCGAACGATCGAATTGAGTAACGAAAAGGAAAATGTACAAATAAACGATTCGTTTTTCGTAGACAGATTATCGAGGACCAAAGGATCTCTCTTTCTCAGAACGTTAGTCGCCGGCATTGCCATCGACCGACGTTAAGGGGTTACCCCTAGGAAGATATAAAAAGGCATAATCGTCCTTGCCGCTAAAACGAGATTCTTTTGAGAATCGTCCTTTTTCCGTATAGGTGGATTCAACCGAGCGGATACCTATCCGTAAGGAGGGCAGGCCAGGCAGCTCGAGCAAAAAATCTGCTGATATAGACTGAGATTCACCTGCAGCCTGTTCCGGGTTCTCCTTTACGTACGACAAAGGGTTGAGCAGAATGATATGGCAGTGCTTTCGCTGCTCCCACTGCCACGTTCCCTCCATTCCTCAGCTTAGCGCCAAACGTATTCGGTGTCGACTGGAATAGAACGGATAGCATTTAAATAAATCACTTCCGATTGGTTTTACTTTTATGATACAGGACACTTTTTTTTTTTATTGAAAATAACATCAGAACGTCGTAAGGTCAGACGGAGGAGTTAACATTCACGTAATTACACGAAGAATTGGATAGAGTGCGACGGTAATTGGAATTCATCTGTCGTTCTCGTATTGAATTGCCACCGAGAATTTCTTAAATACGGCTCTTTCGAGTACAAAAGAATCAAGAATATCGCGTTATTAAACGAACGGCGATCCGCTCATAACATAAAAGTGTGCCATTCTCCCGGTCTGTTACAATCGTCGCGATTATTCCTTTAAATGTCAGAGACTGTGCTCCAGATAAGAAATCGAGCATAAACCGAGCGGAGTCGCGCAGCACGCCTTTAATTTATTTCACGTCGCCGTGCTCCCTCCTTTCTCTCGAGTTTTCTGCCCACATCAGGTTCCACGAACCTGCGTCTTAACGGATATCGGGTAATGCCGGCAGAAAACGGCGTGTCAAAGAATTACAGAAAGTCGAGGCTTTAAAAATAAACCGTCGATCGGAGCGGAGAACTTTTTTTTATTTTCGCTTTTCACAAGTTTTCCCGACGTAATTTCACGGTGAAACTGATTTTTCACTTCTACCAACGATCTTTCGGTCAATTAATTTCCCTTTTTATATGAGTTCCACGGCGGTGTTACGTCCTCGTAATAAATCGTAAGGAGCCCGTACGATCGACGCGATCACCGCGATCACGGTTGCCGTGTGTCATGAATATCTTTCTTGCGGGTGGAGTTCCTCGGTCGTCGAACCCGTCATTGATTCGCCAATAGATTTTCTAGGCTATCGCGAGACTCTATGAATAATGCATACACCGCCGGTCCGTTATGCCGCGCTCTACTCATTATTGCCACGGCCGTCCCCTCTCCTCGACCTATTAATTCTGGATTTACGTTAATAATCCTCGCTTTGTGACCGTACGATCCATAGAGCGTCACGTTTGTCAGCCGCGATGAGCCACGTTTTACTTTGTGTCGACGCGTTTATCGGCAAAAGTCACCGGCAGACGCAGTCGCGTAATCGCGGTCTACCCGCGGACGTTGTCACGTGTTTAATTATATTCCATGTCATCCACCCGTTGTGCAATTTTTATCATATCACAGAATCAACCTGACGGATCGTCTTATTGAAAAAGAAACAGCTGAACTTTAGTCATTATCAAATAATAATTACGTTCGGAGTTAAGAATGAAACGAAACCGTGCGGAAACAGGGCATCGAGAAAGTTTGATGAAACGGCAATTAATTGGATATGCGGTAACGCTGTTAGAGAGTTTGATGAAATGATAATTAATCAGATACAGAGAGCGAAATGTACGCGTTGTACGGGGCGGGAGGGTTGGCAATCTCGACGTCCTTCCAAGGAGAGCCCGCGGAAGTGCCCTCCGGATCTAGAATCTCTTGATTACGCCACTTAGGATGCGATGGGAGCATTTCCAATAAGTCGCCTCGCTTCCCTTCGAGGATGCTCCTTCTATTTATTTTATTTGAATAAACGATGAGGATCGGGAGTCGGTCGAAAGGGTTAGACCTGTTCTATTTCTCAAACACGTGTAACGCACGCTCCTCGTCAAGATGTGTACGTCGGGCAAACGTTTAATTTCCCGTACAATTTTAACGAGGTCCAATTACAATCCCTTAATTATCTGACCGGCAAATAGTGTTGGAAATTGAACTTGATCGAGCCGTGGCTTTTATCCGCAAGTATTTACTGTACACGGGGAAACGAGAATTTCACAAAGAGAGACTAGATAAGAATCCGACGAGAAGAAACTCGAGTTTAAAGTAAGTGAAACGCAAGATACCCTGGCAATCCCAAGAGTTTAAATCGATTCCGTTTTACTACCCTTTTAAGGAGTTGATAGGACGCTTAACAACAGAAGTTGCCAAAAGGTAGCTTAAATAATATTCATACCCTGCGTAATAAATTTCAAATTATTTGTAATACTGATTGATTTTGTAAGGGGTTTACAGCTGAAACTGTAAAATTTCGACATGTCAAAGTGTATTTTAGTTTGCGTAAATTATATGACTTCCGAGGTTCTACGTTATACGGAGAAACAACTAGCTAGGAAACTACTGAAGTTAATTTTGCAAGGACGATTCGTGATTGCTCGTGTAATTCTAGCAGCTGGCTAGCTAATTCGTTCCCTGCCTGACAGAATTTAGTCAGCTGAATTTCCAGTTAGCTACGAAATCTCTTCATAAAATTTGTAAATCGGCGAGAGGCGACGCAGGAATCCGTTTTGCTTATCCTAGTACTGGCTCCCATGTTTTAGAATTGGCTGGACGTGTCCCATTGAACTAAATCCCATTTCTAATTTTATAATCAGAGATAGTCGTTTCACATGTGTATCCACGTTGAGGTTTTTAACCAGTTCATAAATTGAACTAATAGTATTGGGCTGGCAACTAAATAATTGCGGAGTTTATCGATAGACTTCTTATTTAAAATCCACAATCATTTAGTTGCTAACCCAATAATTCACGAGTCAATAATACAAGTTCGAAGTCACGTTTCTACACAAACCATTTGCAAAGCGTCTTCTATTTAAGGATGTATTGGCTATACAGTCAATCCCAAAAGTTTATGCACTTCAGAAACGCATTTTTTAAAAAGAAATCAGACGTCGGAAGAACATTGCTAATAATAAACAACAAAAAAAATTTTTTCATTTTCCCGAGATTTTTCCAAGGGGTACCCCTTCAGATTTCGCGAAATTTTCGTTTTTTGCCAATAACTTCCAAACCGTAGGATCTACGAGAAAATTGCATCAGACCATTCTTGTAGAG